TTACTGTGAAGGCTGAGAATACAAAGGGAGGCCCTTCACAGCACTTTTTGGTTATCTCTGCGTGTTACAAGGGAATGAGAATCTTACAGTTCTCTTTCTAAAGCCCCCTGTGTGTTTCTCATAAATTTGGCTACTTCATTTCCATTGTATTTTAAACTAGTAATCACAGTAACGTTGCAATTATGACATTTCCCATTTTCTCTGAAAGATCATTGTGGCTGTCTATGGATTTTTTTATACTCTCATCGGCTGCCTTTCGAACCCATCAAGATCTCCTGTTTGCCTTCGTCCATAAGTAATGACTCTTCTGTGTTCCTTTGTACAGTGGTTACACTCCATTGTTCACGTGGCTGGGTGTAAAATCGCCCAGGAGGCACACACTTCTGGGCACATCTGTGAAGGAATGTCCACAGACCTACCGTGCTCGTAAGGAGCCTAGACTGTTAAAGGGGAAATAAGCGGTATCCTCATGTCCCCCTGATCCTGACGGTGTCCAGCACGGCACACCAACCGCACCACCCTTTCCCAGACCTGAAGGACTGGACAGCTCACGCTATGAACTTTAAGAAGCCCTTCTTCCTTCCATTGGTCACTTTAGTCAGGCATTTTGTCCTAGCTATGAGAAAAGACCTAATGCACTTTCCAAATCTAATTATGCGGATTTCAGACACCTTAAAGTGTCTCTTTTATCTCCAGCAGTGTTTTTCACATTGGCTCTGGTTCCACAGCCGGTCCACAATAGATCTGGCATTTACAGCTAGGTCTTGTGTCTTTCTGAACCCTGACTTTACCTGTGCACATGATCCCTCCTTCCTGTCCGTAGAGAGCTCCAGTCATTTCGAATCTGTACTTGTAGGAAAGTAGCCTCTTAACTCCTTGTGTCCATCCATGTGTTTACTGTACCAAGGCGTGATGTCTGGGTTTGGGGGTCGTTTGGCCTCGAATATCAGATGCTCTGCATTGCTGAAGTGTGCTGCCAGCACTGCAGCACAGGGGTCCTCCGATCAACTTCTGTGTTCAAGATACTTTCTGGGTAGCTACTGTCAATCTGGTCTAACTAGTTTGCCACCCCTGTTAACACTCCAGACGGTCCACTAAACTAGAAAAGGTTTGTTTCAGGTCCATGAGTTGTTGACTTCGTGGCTGCGGGGCAGTGGCCCGCGATGTTCATCACAGCAGAAGCATGTGGTGCACGAAGCCCCGCCACCCTTTCCACAGACACTAAAGGAAAGGACTGGAGTGCCACAGTCCCCTTGCAGGCACGCCCTGTGACGTAGAACCTCTGCCAGCTCCACCTGTTGAAGGCCCTGCCACCTCTCAGGACCACCGAGCAGAACACCAAGCAAGCAGTTGACGCCTGGGCCCTTGGGGTTACTGCAGAGAAAAGGACACAGTGTACCTCTGCCTCCATTGACAGGTGTGTGGCTTTCCAGGCCCGTAGTGCTTGTGTCCTAGAAGCAATGCTCAATTTGAACTTCTTCCTACCTACTTTAGCTCAGTGACTCAAACAACAGAAATTCCCAGTGGATGGTGGTGTCTGTCACTTTAGTACCTAGCATAACAAGTCTTTGTAGGTGGTTTCGTTTTGCTTTTTAAGATTTATTTATTCAGGCCAGAAGAGGGCACCAGATCTCATTAAGGATGGTTGTGAGCCACCATGTGGTTGCTGGGAACTGGGAAGAACAGTCAGTGCTCTTAACTAAGAGCCATCTCTCCAGTCCTGTAAGTAGTTTTTTTTATGTAGAATAGTAAACCAGGAACTGTTACTTCTGGTTGCTTTATAAGACAAACAAACCAAAAAATCCAAAAAACAAATAACAAAAAACCCATTTACATACCATGATCTAGATACTGTCCTAATTAAAAACCCACAATTTCTGCCTCTGAAAATGTTACTTAGCTCCAGAGGAAATCTCTTTTAGGGCAGGGACAGAAGATTACCCTACAATGGTCCTGTAGACAAGATTATGACAGCATCCCCCAACCCTTGTAAGCCCTTGACTATGTATTGTGAGGGGTGACTCCTTATGCACTGACCAAGGACCTGTTGCTCACTCAGAGAATTACGAACTTCCCCCTGGTATCTCTGTACCATGGATAAATAAGAATCAGGGGAAACAAATAGGCTGATGGATGTTTATTCGGGGAGAAATCACTTACACCAGAAACAGATGGCCGCAGGCAGGTTCCCGTCCCAAGGGTGCTCTCCGTCTCCAAGCAGGAAGCAAGAGATTGCTGGGGTCCAGGACCCCAGACCTAGTTCCCCCAGGTCACGCCGGCGCCTGTCCCGTGCGGCAATGGGTACTTCACTACTCCTCTGAGTCTTAGATTGAATTCTCAGCTGAAGGGGAATTCTTCCCGTTACATACTCAGCCCATGCTCAATGAATGTTTGTATCACACATTGGTTTGGGAATCAGTCCACGCTTACTCTAAAGGGACACACATAGGCCATCACGGTCTGACAGGCCACTGGCAGACAACAGTGAATCTCGGTTTCTATGACATAATACTCCTTAGGCCTTGTGTGGGCTCTATAAAGTGATAAAACTGCTATGGCAATTTTAAATAGCACTTTTAAAAAGCATCAGACTCAAAACTGGCACTGTTAGAGATGGCTAAGGGTTGTGCTGGGGTGGTTTCCTGCCTTGGGATGTGGACTGAGTGAGGAAGCTAAGTCAGGTCAGACTGACCTGACAGTTTTATTGTTCTTGGAAATTACCCGGTAGAGAAAACCGGCTCTTTATCCTCAGAATCGTGGGCATCCTAGGAACACGTGTAATTTCCCGCTTTTATGTTTACCTAAGGATGTTATGGACGGAAGTGTCTAAGTTTGTCCCCAGCCGTGGTTCTATGGTCAGAGCAGGTATAAAAAGCTGACAAAGAGCATCACCACAAGAGTTAAACGTGCAGGTAGGACTTCCAAGTGACATGAAGCGGCTGACCCGTGTCCTGTCACCTGTGCTGATTGGTTACATGTCAACATAGTCATGTCTTATCTGCTTACATATTCTAAGGACATTTCTTCAATAGCACAGGGAGGCTATTTCCAATGAGTTGAAGCATTTAATAATGAAAACTGAAATTCCATAGAGAGAATTCTGCTTCAGAACTCCAAAGGAAAAAGCCCAACCCACATTCTGCCCCTGCTGCCCCTGCATCTGTTTTGAGGGAATTCCTTCAAACCCTCTCAGCATGTGCCTTGATGGTGAGTTTCTCTGGGGATCCCTGACAGGTGCCCCCTCCAATGGTGAGAAATATACCCACTCCGCAATGGACCCTCCCTGGGACATGGGTCATGTTTTACGTATCTTGTCACCTCCGAATCCAGCACAGTGTCTTCCCACACTTGACAGCTGCTGAGCTACTGGTGAACAGACTGAGCCTCAGTGACTATGAGCCAATCAGCAGATAAGCAGAGCCAGGTGAGGATGATTGACAGTCAGGAAAACGAGAGGAGCCCATGCAGACCGGAGCTGGGCAGCTGGCTGTTTGATGTCATGGAAGCCAGAGGAATAGTAAGCCAGAGACTTTGGGAGGTAAGTTCAAGAGCTTGAAGTTTAACATCAATAGTCAGGGGGGTAAAAAAATCCACTCCACTCCAAGCTCCTGGTCATGTGCCCATGAGGATGCTGTCACAGCGTTGGGGATCAGAGCCGCTTATCACCTTGTTCTCCAACATGAGTCTTGGGCATAGAACTCAAAAGAACCCAAGAGCAGAAATGCAGAAGATCCAGCAGTGAGATGATCATTATCTGCCTTTCATGGGGGTTGGCCCCTGGTGATCTGGGCCCTGGGTCCTCATTTCTGACTGCAGTGGTGCAGAACTAAAGCCAGGATTACAGAGAGATCTGCACGGAACCAGGCCTGGTGCTGCAACACCTTACACCTGGAAGTTAACTCAAGTGTGGCTAGTTCTACCCTCAGGCGTGCCTGGCCTATAGCAACGGCTGTGAAGTAGCATGCGATCCATGTGTGTTAGCTCCTGTTCACAAGGCAATGTGCAAACAGATCACACTGTCCATGCAAGCATCATTCCTTTATCTCTCTGCATTTAAAAAAAAAAAAAAAAAAAAAAAAAAAAAAAAAAACACTACCCTAAGGATCCAAGACATTGTCTCTCTGGGCTTTGTTAAATGTTCTTTCACAGGACAGTTCAGCAGTAAGATAACAGTGGCTAAGCTTAGGCCACGGTAATGGCTGAAACACACAGCGCATACATCAAAGCTATCAGTGGCTGCATCCCCAGCCGCATGAACAGCGATCTCTGCTCACTGCTTCTCAGAGGTCTAGGTTCAGGCTGCAAACGAATGTTCTATGGAACAAATGAAACATGGCAATTACCCACATAATCCAACAAGAAACAGGGTGATATGCTCACCACGTGGAGAAAAAACACAAGAGTGAGTGACCAAACATATCTCCTTGGACAGGAACTGGTGTGAGATTTCCAAGTGGCCGTCCTTTCATTTAGTCTAAAAGAACTCCTCTGTAGATCAGGCCTCCGAAGCAGCCACAAGGCCGGGAGCTAAGAGAAATGAGGCATCTGCTGCCCAGTGAGAGAGACAGGCACCGGCTTCAGCGCTCTACAGAATCCGCTCGTCACGACACTGTGAGCCACAGCAGCCCTTCCTTAATGTGTTAAACTTGTGAACTTACAACCACGAATCCCTTAATGGGTATCTGTACTGTACCACAGACCCAGGATGTCGCTGGCCTCCCAAGACACAGCTGGTGAGCAGCATGCGGTGAGCACGCTAGCATTTTCAGAAGTGTTAGGGGAACTGGCTGACAGCTCTCCCCGTATTGCTCGTGTTTGCCCTTTCCAGGAGCCTACAGGCTCAGATGATGATACTAGTTTTAAAAAGATGTTTTTTTTTGTTTTTTTTTTTTTTTCAGCCCAGAAAACCTTCAGAGTCCACAACAGCCAAGGCTGATCAGAGGACTGGTGACCCTTAAATGAAGCTAGGTAGGTTTGGAAGCCCATGGAGATCAATAGTCTCACTTTGAACTCGTACATTTTATTCAGATGCTTAAAGTTAACGAAGTAAGAAGTTCTGAAATGAGGCTGTGTGTGGCCGTCCATGACTTCTAACCCAGCACTTAGAAGGCTGGGACAGACAGGTCACCATGAGTTCAGGGCCAGCATGAACCAAACAAAGAAAACAGAGAGAGAGAGAAGCAGAAACAGTTTTGAGATGCATGCCAACACCATGTAAGACATCTCGCTCATCTCCGCCACGTTACTCCATCGTGCCCACTCCCTAAAGTTTAATTCATGAAACTCAATGACATGAACGCTGATTAAAGATGACGTAAGAAAGACTTGGGGAAGAAGGTGTCCCAACGACACAAGGCATCCGGGAAAGAGTTGGTCATACTAAGAGAAGAACCATTTTTCCGGTCTTCCCACTGCTGTGGATGATGTCTTCATGGGCCTGGACTACCTTCTCCAATGGGTACTCAGAACCTATCATGGGTTTCACCCAACCTTTTTCCATTCCTGCTTGGAGGATGCCGGCGAACTGTTGAAATTCCTCCTGGAGGAAAGAGATTAAAACCTTTTGGTGTTTTACTTCCTGGCAGTGAACCACGTGACTCATGTTCACGGGCATTGGGAACTTCGATATCTGAGAGCCATACCAGGAAGTCCTCTTGCAGATGTGCAGAATTCAAGTTTGCCCAGAACTACCTGTTAATTCTGTCACTCACACTGCCTAGGGCAGTGTTAGTATATGAAATACTGTCTTGAAATAGCTGCGGTTGGTTAGTATGCCTTCTCCCAAACACAGACTGGATTACACGGATGCCCTCATAGACCATCTAGTGACTGACTGATATCTACCTCTCTAGTCGGGTGACCAAGCTCACATGTACTCTGACTGCAAATCTGCTGACCGGACAGAACTCCCTGTGTTTCCATCAGCGACACCAGAGCCGCCCCTTCCCTACCTTGGTGGATGAAAAGAGAGAAACTCCAATTATACTCGTCTCCTTTGCCATGGTGTCCCGTGGGTTTATTTCAATAGGACCTCTACAGCCAACAACCTGTCATGAAAACAGCAGGTACAGAGCGAGATTACTCTGGAGTGGGGTAAAATGGCAGAGGAAACCAAAGGGATGAAGAATGGTACTTACGATCACCCGTCCTCCACGGGACAGAAGCTTCAAGTCATTATTCAGGTTTACATTCGCCAGCATCTCAACAACCACATCGACCCCCTTGTCACCGACAGACTCCTGCACCATGAAAGGGAGGAGATAGAGGTGGAGGACTGTAAAATTGCCTCTCCAGTAGCATGTTCCACGGGATGTGTTTCAGATGTCAGGCAAATGCTACGTTTTTAAGACTAAGTGCATGCGTTAATAAAATGACTCCATTACAAGGCAATAGCAAACACCAAGACTTCGGTGTGAAGACTAAGAGGCACCGGATAAACTGCCAGAATACGTAAATCTGTATGTAGTCTCTCTGTGTGTGCGCGCTAGTCAACCTGAATATAAAATACTTTTCCATAGTTAAAAATTTCCCAATATTAACAATGTTTACAGAGAGTAACAAATCAAAACTTCTCAAACCTGAGGAGTGTTCCATTGGTGCTCGTGGTGTGTGTGTGCACGTGTGTGTGTGTGTGTGCACGTGTGTGTGCGTGCATGCCTGAGTGTGTATGTTTGGGTGTGTGTGTGTGTGTGTGGATGTGTGGATGTGTGTGTATATGTATGAGTAGGTATGGGGGGGTGGCTGTAGGTTTATATCTGTGGATGAATGGCTGCAGGTCTGTATCTGTAGGCGGATGCTGTAGGTTTATATCTGTAGGCGGATGCTGTAGGTCTGTATCTGTAGGCGGATGCTGTAGGTTTGTATTTGTGGGTGAATGGCTGCAGGTCTGTATCTGTGGGTGGATGCTGTAGGTCTGTGTCTGTGGGTGGATGGCTGCAGGTCTGTATCTGTGGGTGGATGCTGCAGGTTTGTGTCTGTGGGTGGATGGCTTGCTACACTAATTCTTTCTGTATGCACTGTAAGGTATTGAGTCTCCATATTTAAAAATTGTCCTTGAAGAGTCAGCAATATTACAGTTATTTTATATTACATTTGCTTTATTTTATTTTAACAAAGTGAATACTTCCACCAAGGCATTGGAGAGAGTTCAAAGAATGGATGCTGTACAGTTTAAACCAGGAATTTGGGTGGAAAACACTACAAGCATATCTTTTACATAAGTCCTGAGTAAAAGCACAGCTTTTGCATAAGGGTTGAATACAGTGTTAGCAGGCAAAGCCATGAGTAACAGAAGGAAAGGGTTAAAGTTTAATATGAGTAACAGAAGGAAAGGGTTAAAGTTTAATATGAGTAACAGAAGGAAAGGGTTAATATGAGTAACAGAAGGAAAGGGTTAAAGTTTAATGGCCTACACTGGTCAAGGGAATTTCCACAGAGGACAAGGAAGATGAAACTGCGTACAAGAAGGACGAAGAGGGCCCTGGGAATACTTGAGTGAGTTATTAGCAGATTACAGATAGGGACTTGAGGGCTGAGGTGAGGGTTGGGGATAGAAGTCAGCGGCAGAGTGCTCGCCAGGCAAAACAGGCAGACAGATAAGATCCTGTATGAAGTGTGCCGTATGCCACCATCACCCGAACCCTCCTCGCCATGGTGGGCGGCACAGTGATAATCCTTCCCCAAGGACCCCGTTAGCAAGCAGCATCTTTTCAGGACAGATACATGTGTCCTGCAATTCTGGGAACCTGGACTGCAATGGGAATTTCACACCCCAGCAGCTGCCCTAAGAGCATCTTGCAGCTACAAACTTTACTTAGAACGCGATCTTTCAACTTCTTGAGCCATCGGACTCCAGAAAACTCCGTCTTGTTTAGTATGCATGCACAAGGTAAGCATGAGAGCAAAGGCTGAAAACTAGACGCCTGTGCCTTTTAAATCAATCAAAACACACACAGGGATAAGAGTTCACATAGACATGAAAATCAAGCAATCTCATTCATTAAGCAAAATCTTATTTATGCATTCGAAGGGTAGGAGTTAAAATAACTTGTTTTTGAAAAGAGTAAATCTCCAAGAAGCAATGTTCGGCTTTTGTAAAACTGCGGAAAACTCTACCTTGATTTTATCAATATAATTGACTTCTTTGTGATCAAACACTTCATGAGCCCCGTTTTGCAGAACAAGCTTTTTTCCTTCCTCGGAACCAGCTGTGCCCAAAACCTTTAAGCCGTGAGCTCTGGCAATCTGGCATGTAGCTAATCCAACCTGAAAAACAAAGTATAAGCCTGGCGTTACACATTCTCTGCATCCCTGAGAAGCCTTCGGTGCCTCCGGGAACTGCAGATCTCCAGTGCAGTGTTTCCCAACCTCACAGGGCCGCAGAGCAGGTGTCCTGCACATCAGATGTCCACACTACGATTCACACTGTAGCAAGATTACAGTCATGAACTAGCAAGGAAATAATTTTATGGTAGGGGGTCACCATAGTGTGAGGAACTGTATTAAAGAGTCCAGCATCAGGAAGGCTGAGAACCGCTGTCCTAGTGTATAACCTGTCCCCAGGGTGAGGAGGAAACCAGCTTTGCGTTCATATCCATCCACACCATGCTGGTGACACACACTGTGCTCAGCTTACCTGCACCGTGCTGGGGGAGGTCTCCATCATCTGTACCTGCCTTACGCTGACGAGGAACAGGAATATCTTACCCAGTCTCCCACAGCGGAACGATGCAGGATTAGACTGCATAAGGGGACCACTAACCACTGTGTGAGAGCACCTGCTAATACCTGCTTCGTGCAGGAGGTGCAGGCTTTAAAAATGGCCTCAACGCTGCTTCCTGGCGATAACTAATCAATTAAATACTTCATTCTTTATAACAAGCATTAAGGCCTCTACCATTTAAGTCAGAGACATAGGCCCATGGGCTCACATTTACTGAGAGCCTGTCTTGTCCTGCCCATGGACTGAATGTAAAAGAAAGTACATTCTAAAGACAAAGGAAGATAGTGAAGGGACAAACAACTCGGTGAAGCTAACAGAAAGTACCAGGGAGAATAACAAAACAGCCTGGGAGAGGGGTGTGGAGAGGGGCTGGAGGAGAGGAGAGGGAGGGAGGAGAGGGAGGGACACTAGCCGATGGGAAGTGAGGAGTTGGCCACGTGGGTCCAGCGGGAACAAGGTCAAAAGGCAGGAAGATGATGACTTGGCTCTGGGAGAGATCACCTGGCAGAGACAAAAGTCAGAGCCCAAGGTCCAGAGCAAAACGGCCCTGGACAATATTGAGAGCCATGGCAATCACCCGAGACCCCAGACACTCAAGGGGTGGTGACAGCTGGAACCTCTAGACACAGGGTATAAAAATCACGCCACTGAGAACAGCCCTACCAAATCAGGGCGCGGGCTTCCTGACTGCATCCATTTGCTCTTATTTTCCAAGGGAAACAAACCCTTCCCAGCTGTGATTTATCATAAGCTTTTATACCCCGTTTTATTCAAAGTCAATTTGGAAAAGCACTCGCTGCTTGAAAAAAGGTAACTGCTCAGTCATTTCTTTTTTCTTTTCTTTTTAATCGTTTGTTTATTTCTATTTTATGTGCATTGGTGTTTTGCCTGTATGTATGTCTGTGTGAGGGTGTCAGATAGTGGACTTGCAGCCAGGTGTGAGCTGCCACGCAAGTGCTGGGAATTGAACCTGGGTCCTACGGAAGAGCAGTCAGTGTCCTGAAACCACTGAGCCATCTCTCCAACTCCCCATTTCTTTTTCTTTTGAGAAACTCATCACATAGCCCACGCTGTCCTGAACTCATCGTGAGCCTCAGCCTCAGCCTCCTATGTGTTAGAGTTCTCAGCATGAGCTGCCATGTTTGGCTGCTACTTTCCATTAAAGACCAGCATTTCATACACAGACCAGGACTGTGGTGACATGTTATATATGATCTATTAAAGCTTGCCAAGGCCAGCCACACAAGACACAGAGCCAGGTGGTGGTGATACGCACCTTTAATCCCAGAGCCATACTAGCTAGCCAGGACTCGAGACAGGCAGATGGATCTATGTCTGTTAGTTCAAAGCCACGCTGAGCTACATGAAATTGATCTAGTTCTAAAGAGAAACAGCTCACACAAAGGTGATCTCAGCACTTTAATCCCGGGATCTAAGAGGTATAAGAGGAGGAGGCTGCAGTCTGCAGTCTGAGGTTTGGTGAGGAGATTTCTTCCCCAGCCACACTGGGAGAGGACTGCCCTTTCAGCCTGAGGTAGAGGTGAGAGCCAGTGACCGGCATTTTCCACTCAGGACTCCTCTTGGCCTGAGAAGCTTGTACACAGCCTTAGGCATGTGGACACAAGAAACAGACAAATCAATCCGACCTCTCAGAGTTTAACCCATTATTCTGACTTTGTAATTGTCAAGGGTAAGAATGGCACTACACATAAACATGTAATGCAAAAGTGGCAGGCATATTTAGGCACACTTCAGAAACTGATGGAAATTCTTCCTACTCCCAGGTCAAAATTTATTGAATTGTTTTTTAATGAAACTCAAGGCAGCAATTCCATATCCATACCAGTTTTCAAAGCCAAGCCTCCTTTGTGAGTGTCACCCCACCTTGTCAAAGCCATACATTCTAACACCGTACACTTCACAGATCACATAATGACGCATGCTGACTTAGGATCAGTAAGTAGGCTAGACTGCCTCCCACGGGGCCACGTCAGGAACCATGCTGTAGGAGTGGGGAACCAGCTCATGCATGTTGTCCTCCGATCGCCAAGAGCATGCACAGACCCACAAGTGCTCCATTAAAAGTGAAGGAAGCTGTGGTCTGGACGGCCAATGGGAAGACAATTACAATGAAAAAAACTCACGTGAGCGGGAGTAATTCTAGCAGCCTGGGCTAAGACTGTAAGGTCTCTGGGGCGGATGAGGCCATGCAAGTCAGGCTATGGCAGGGTTTCCACAATCTAACAAAAACAGGCACGCAGGACTCCACAGCCCACTGGGCGAAACACTGCCCTGTAGGGCCATCTCAATCTATTCCCATGACTTACATTTTCTATTAACACTATGACTCTAGTAAAATCACACGCCTTAAGGCACAGACTTAACGCAAGCATATCACATAACGTTACCCTTTGAGGGGCCACTCAAGAGTCTTCTGAATGGCTCTGCCTGCTGTTTTCTTGCCCAAGAGATTACACACCATTACCTGTCAGCTATTTTTCTCCAACTTATTTGCTAACACTAAAATGAGGCACTCCCCGCCAACATACTGGGACAGCGGCTGTGTTCGTGAGTCCACATCACTTTAAAACCACAGGAATGTGGACTAAGTGGAGAGTACAGACAGAAGCCAGGCCAAAGCCAGCGCTGTCTCCCTCAGATAGGGCAGGGGGATCACAGGCACTTACTGCATGTGCCCGGCACACAGCCTGTTCTGGCCAGCTCTGAAAACCAACGGTTTGGATTGTACCTTTTAAAAAGGCAAACCGATCCCTCTGAAGCGACACGGCTTTCTACGTGTGGGAGGGTGGAGGGAATAGATCGACTTCCTTTAAATTCCTCTCTCTCCACTGAACCAAGATCTCTCTTCTCTACAGGGCGCCAGGCTCTGAGAAAGCCACAGCAGTTTAAAGGGACACAGGTGCTTTTCAACCCTTTGGTTATTAGGTTAAATTTAAACCGCATCCAGCACCAGCCTTTGGTGATGGTAAACAGCGAGTCCAGCTGCTGTGTTTTCTCAAGCTGTGGAGACACCTTGGGCTTCTTGATAAATGGTCTGATTTGTGAAATCCCCCAGGAGTGATTTCTTTGAGTCATCCAGGAAATAAGGAAGTCCATCTCCTAAGATACAAAGTGGCCTGACTTTTTGAGTTACCTGGCACTTTTAGAGGCAGGGTCATACTGTCAGGGCACTACCATCATCCCATGGGGCATGCTGCCCTAGAGTTAACCCTTTCCATACCCTCCCCGGAACACCCAGAACTGAAGGTGAGCCATTATGCCCCAGGCCCTGGGTTTAAACAACGTGACATCTTGTCTCCAACATTTCCAAAGTCTCTCTGTGCTGGAGTTTGAATTCCAAATGCATCGCTCTAGCTTTCTCTCCATGCTCCTTGGAGACAGACTGCAGTAAGGTTCCTGAGGAGGAGTACAACACTTGCTGCTTGGTGGTTTCCCAAAGGGGCTTAGGTGCTATGTTCTGAATCCGTTCCCCACTAAATGTTAGCGTTCTCAGGCTTGGCTTGTGGTGCTGAGCACACAGCTATAAACCAGGCACTGCTCGAATGTCGAGAAGCTGACCACTGCCCAAGAGGTCTCATGAGCCTTATTTTGCTAACTACTGGGATAGGGAACAGCTACTGTTAACCTCTGAACGGCTTAAAACGCCGCATAATTTAAGACCAGTCGACATCTGCCATCTTGGTGCGTGGCTCCCAACATGGGTGGGAAACCCACCACATTGATTTTTTTTTTTTTTTAAATGAGGGGCCCTGTTGAATTTATTGAGCACAAAGTTCTACAGCATCAGTCATGAACTCCACTCAGGGACCACATCTTATGAAGTTTCGTGGCATTAAAGGCAGGGTAGGGGAGCGTGACTATAAAATTGGCTCTCCAAACTGACTTTATGGACAATGTCCGCGTCCCAGCATGGGTGGGGGAGGGATGCACCAGGCCTGGTCCCAGCTGAGGAGCTACTGGCAGCTGATGGTGGCTGGGAGAGGAAGGCATGGCCTGCAGGGGTTTGGCACTCAATGGCTTCTCATGTGGGCATCACTGACTTTGGACCCAATGGATTATTTTAAAAGAAGAGGTGGACATGAAGCTGGGAAGGACAAGTGTGTTGGGAGGGATCTGGGGGTTAGATCAAGCACACTGAGTGTATGTATGAGATCCTTAAAGAATAATTTAAAAACTTTTAAAAATCAAGAAGGTAAAGGGATTTCAGGAAGTGTTACTTGAGACCCATAACTCCACGCTCACTTAAATACGGACGTAAAAACAGAGGTACTTACGCCTCCACTGGCCCCGTGGACCAGGACGATTTCCCCAGCTCGTGCGCGGGCACTGCAGAACAAAGCAGAGGGGCCGTTACTCTCCTCTGAAGCGAACCAAGAGCTGGCATTTCCCGTCATCTCTGAGGAGCCCCTGCCTGTGCTTCAGCTAACACTGAGGGGCTACTGCACCCTGACATGGAGTCAAATATCCTGACCCCAGGGCTCAAGGGTGCTGCCCAGAGCCGCAGTGAATAGACACCTCCCACAGTACCCACTCCAGAGATGCCACAGATGTCTATTGCCTGCCTCTGACCATGATGGGCACAGAAGCTGCACTGCACTACCGTCTTTGTGTACTGGTGGAATTTCTGAACCAGAACTGGAGTCCCTCATGCCCATGTGTCCCCACAGAGAGTGTCCCCGGACAAGTTTTCTTAGCTCAGTCTTTGTCCCGTGGTTCAGGGTTACCCAGCTAACAGCAGGTGGACTGCTTTGGGCAGGGCTAAAAAATATCCTTGCCTCTCCACACCTCTGAAAACCAGATCTGAGCAGTTCCCAAAAATGCAGTGCTGAGTCACCGAGGCCCCCACGCCACCCCATAAAACATACAGGCTTTCCACCTGTGTACGTTACCACACGGTTTAAAACCCTGAATGCTAGGGACAGGCAAGTCAGCATGGGGAGTCCTCCATTATTCAAACACGCAAGGCTTCACTTCGCCAGCACCACACCCCTTATAACCCAGCTCATTCTGGGAATACGGTAGGAAGGCCCCTGTTTTGAGACCCGTTCATTCCAGAATGAGAGCCAACTGCTCACAGTTTACAGCTGGCAGTCAATGGAGCCTCCCTAACCCTTGCTTATGAACAGGGAAGACAGGGAGAGAGACAGAGTCTGAATGACAAATTGACATGACAGACATCCAAAGCCCTGATACCCTAAATGTACAAATGTAGGGGAAGATGACGACTGACCATATACACTGAGAGATAAAATACACCTTGAAAACGGCTAGAATACGTTTTCCAGAATCTCAAGGCCCTGAGGTAAGTATTTATCTGAGTCTTAGTCACTATTCTGTTGCTGTGAAGAGCCTTCCAATATTTCTGGGAAAATAATCTCCATTCATGGGGATTGATTTCCTCTTTTTAACTCAAAATGATCAGACTTCTGTCCCCTCTGTGATGGTCATGACCCCAGGAATGCTTAACGACAAACGACCAGCAGCCCTTTTTTGACAAGCAGCCACAGGGCAGGCAGAAGGCAGGTGGCGAGGGCTGCCTGAGTGGGCTGGCTGTGAAGTCACCATGCTCACCTCACCTGTGGAACAGAGCTCGGCAGGCTGTGAAGTATGGGATGCCAAGTGCAGCCCCTTGCTTGAAGTCCAGTGTCTCAGGCAGGGGGTAGACAGTGTGATCCGATGCAAGAGCAAACTCTGCATAACCGCCAGAAACTGTGCTGGAGCAGAAGACCCGGTCACCTCTCTGAAAGAGAGATCGGCGAAGGCGCGCATCTGAGACTCCGGTTAGGCCAAGATGCATGAGACTCTCACAATGCCAGCCTTCAGTGAGAAATAACCATTAACACATGGATATCTCCAACTCAGGATCTCATGAACAAACAACAGCAAACCCTGACACTGTGCACATGTTTTCTAAGCGGGGACTTACAAAAAGACCCTGTACCCTTGTACATAACCACCACAGTGACCTAGGGAAGATAGGAAAGAGGCGTGCTCCATCGCTCCCACTACAGATGAGGAAACAGAAGTGCACATGAGTGCAGTATCTTCATCCAACTAAGCATCACCCTGAATCAGCAGGACGGTCAGAGCAGACCCCGTACCTCTCACAGCAGGAAGCAGAGCACCCTGTTAACGACACCTGCTACCCCCTGGTCAGGGGGAAGCGCACGCACAACCTGCTCTAGCACGCCCCACATGCTGGCTGCCCGGACACGGGCCTGCGTCTTTAGGGAGAAAAAGACAAAAGAAATAGGAAGACCATCAAGTAAAATACAGTGCAATGATGGCCTCAGAACACTCAAACTGGCCCTATGATAAAGAAATGTGAAAAGCATTGGGCTGTAGGAGGGACGTAAAAAGGAGACTGAGAGCCAAAGGCAAGTGTGAGCATTGGGCAGGGTCGTCTGAGAACGGGCAAGGAAGATCAGTTAAGAGGAGTCCCTGTTTTATGGCTTGAAAACAGCCCGGTTCACTTCCGTGAGATTCAAACATTAAGAACTTGCTAGAAGGAAAACGTGAGGGACACCAGAGGCAACACACTGTCCCAAATCTCAAGCACGCCCACCTCCAGGAGGGGAGGGACAGGGAGACATGCCATGGTAATGCAAGCAAGCATGGCGTGATGGGGCCGAGAAAAGAAGGCGGTGATTGAACGCTGGGGGACGCGGGTGTGTGAGGCAGGTCAGGAAGTCATGACAAGAGCTGAGGACAGGGCTGGGATGAGGTGACACAGAGAAGGAAGCCCGGTGGCAAATGCTGAGACACGGTACTCCCTTCCGCTCCCGCAAAACAAAGCTTTTACCTCAAAGGGAGCAAGAATTCATCCCGGAGCCTTGAGGGACCACAGCCTGGGAACAGAGATTCTAGTCAGTTCCGCTCCATGTCCCCATGCGTTAGCGGCTTCGTGAAGTAAAGAACAAAGAAAGCCATCAAGCAAGCACTTTTCAAATACATTAGTGGGAACATCTCGGGAGGCAGTTCCAGCAGAGTCTGATGCTATTCTTAACACCGAGGTCGGGGGAGGCTTCCGGTCTGTGTGTGCACTCCCAAAGACTCTCCAAAGAGCCATGCAGATGGATGTTAGGTCAAAAGAAGGGGTGAGGGTAGGGCCCTGCATGGACGCCCCCCCCCAGGCACCCTGAGCAAGCCTGAGCTGTTAACTGGAACACTCCACACTTTCAGCTGGAGCATCTTGCCCAGAGTTGTTACTGGCACCCTCCAATTGCTAACACACACCTGCTGGGGAGGAGCTAAGCCCACACTTATACTCCTGACTCTGAGATTGCTCTCCACCATGCTGTGAGTCAGTATACAAGCCCGCTCCTTCCCCTCAATAAAGGGCGTTCCTGTCAGCAGGCTTGGATAGACAGACTGAGATAAGTCAGCTCAGGGCTCACAACATCCCCGCTCTACATCATCATGGAAGCTACTCCAGCCCGTTGGGTTTGCACAATCATCAATACGGGTTACGGGGCTATTTTCTGGGAGTTTTGTATGCAGCACACGATGGACGCGGGACAGAACTGACATCTGTGAGGTCTTGCTTCAACACCAAAGCACACAAGAAACAGATGTGAGTTCGGGCTCCGGGAACAGGAGAAGGTAGCAGGTGCCTATACATTCCAGGTCAAGTTACTTCAATAGAGACAACCTAAACTACGCTACCGGCAGGGATCACACCCAGCAGGAGGAGGGGACTGAGTGAGGAGGGGCCTCCCCTCCCGGGGAGTGAGCAGGGAGAAGAGTGTGGCATATCCTATACCTTCCCTGTCGAGGAAGGGAGCGGCCAGAGGCACGGGACTGTTAAGCACTGAGACACAGGAACGAGACTCATAACGGAAATTTAACTGTTTGATTGACAGCCAGAGAGCACCATTTCAGACACAGTCCTAGTGATGGGCTGAGGAAGGAAACAGGATGAGAGGGTGTCTATGGCTAAGGACCACTGCGGGAAGGGAGTAAACACAGAAAGCAGGTCTGGATGGGGCTGCGGGCTTAACAGGACTAAGGCAGCACCCACAGAGCAAGGATGGAGAACAAGGTGCCAAGAGGAAGGGACACAGGCAGCACCGGAGAAGCCGGAGGAAAGGCTGGGTCTTGGCTTTGTTGTTGTTTAAGAAAAAGTTAACCGACAGAAAGTGTCAAGTGTCATCGGGAAGTTAAGATGGATAGTGACGTAAAAGGGCCGCCGATTCCGGGAGAATAGTGACCATTAGTGGCATTAGCAACAGAGTCTTAGAGACTCGATGGAGGGGGCAGACGCCACACTGCCATGAGCTGAGAAGTAGAGAGCTGCAGGAATCGGCTCACTTCCTGCACAGGGGCGGGTTACGTTCCTCCTATTAAGCGCAATACTGGTGACTATGGTGCCAATGGTGAGCAGGCCAGGAAACTAGGAGGCAAGAGGGTAGCCATAAGATGCCACAAAGACACCATCCACACCTGGCATGTCTTTTGGCAGAACAGTGATGACAGCCATGATCGCAGCTCTGATGTCTACTCCAAAATGGCATAGTGACGCCGCATGTGCTCATGGTTTATTTATCCTCCCAAAGAGTTAACCTTTCCTCTACCTTGTGAAAAGAAATTTAAAAATTCTGTCTGTGCATGACAAGAGTTCGGGCCACGTGTCATCTCCCTATCTGTTTCCTTCGCTCACAAGTTTCTATGAGACTAAATGGACCACAACTCAACTCATTCGGTGAGTTGTGACGGCACAGAAATTACCCGGTGTTGATTTCCAACAGTGCAGACAAGCAAGGCCTCTGGATAAGAAACACTTTCTTTTCTGACCAGGAGTCCCCCAACTAGCAGAAACTGTGCAATGGGTACCTTTGAAAGCCTTTAAAGCTATCACTAAATTTCAAAACAATGCTGTTAAGTTAAAATAGAAATAATTACGAATAGAATACCTTGAAAGAAGACACACCATCTCCAATGGATTCTATGACCCCAGCCACATCAGTGCCTGGAGTGTAGGGTAAGGTGGGTTTTCGACTGTAGGTTCCAGAGCGAATATACGTCTCTACTGGGTTGACACCACAGGCGTGCACTTTGATTAGAACCTGTAGTGACGATACAATTCAGTTCACACAGAGCGCTGCGGCACTGCCTTACAAAGATGCTGCAGGGATAAGGACGGAGCTAGGAAAACTGAGCAACGCGGTAAGACTGAACAAGCTCCCACCTACAAGCCTGTATTCTAAGTCTGCAGTAAGGAGGGAGGTAGGCTGGCTTACACACTACTCTCAACTTTCAGCAAACAATAAAGGATGCCGAAAGAGGGGTGTCCCAGCCAACTCCACGTGTCCACAAGATCTACTCCCTCTTCTTAGATATGTACGAGGAACAGCATTTCCCAGGGTCCAGGCCAGTTTTTATGTCAATCTGGCGCACACTACGGCTCCCTGAGAGCAGGGAACCTCGGTAAAGAAACTGCTTCCACGAGGTCTGACTGTACACTAGCCTATGGGGTATCTTCTTAAACGCCGATGTGGGAGGGCCCAGATCATGGTGGGCGGGGCCACCCCTGAGCAGGCTGAGCAAGCCATGGAGAGCAAGCCAGTGAGCAGCACCCTCCATTGTAGTGTTGACATGAGACAACTCATGACTAGCTAGCTGTAATGGTGCACCTTTTTATTACACCCTGGCCAGTTTCAAATAGAACTACAGTCAAGAATTTTCTGCCACACAGTGCCTAACTACATATGTCACAGCCAGTTCTGTTGAGAAATTTGGTTGCTAAAAATTTTCTTCCTACAGGATCCATTGGAGCAATCATCGTCCCATTTCAGCAGGAAGTAATCTTAATATGACTACGCCCCCTTTCCCTACCCTTGGAATTTTGGGATAATAGTCATCGTCTTTGGGTTGGTTTTAGTTATTTGGGATTGGGTGATGCTTACACTCGGGTTTATCTTTTAGACAGGAATAGGGAATGGTGGGTAAAGGTATGGTTTAGATGGGATATAAGTAGATTAGCCTATTTCCTTGAGAATTTGAGTATGAATGAGATAGTATTTTACAGCTTACATTGTTATGTATTCCTATGTGGTAAGCTATGTAAAATTAAGTTTATATTTTGTTATATTGTGTTAAATGTTTCCACTTATAATATTTATGCACATTATTTTTTTACCATATTCTATGTATGTATACTTTTCCTGTATTCAAGACATTTTGTATATTGATACAATTTGGGATATTTATCTTGCTGCCCTTTATAGTTCTACCTCTTGTCTTGACACTTATACTCTACCTCTATTTTAGGGATTTACATGTAGGTATATGTAAATAGTTATATTGTTTAAGTATTTGTTCCTGCTTTACTCAGGAAAGTTTTAATCAGTCTTTTAGCTAAGTTCCCGAGTATTACAGATTATCTTCACTCACATTTCCTGTACCTATGAGATTAGTCAGATATAGATGCTTAATCTTCAATCACTTCATAGACATGCAGAACATGGCATTTAAATGTTTTAATATTAGTACTCCATTGACATGAGACACTGTTGCTCCTGACAGCACCGTGCACTTTCCCGAAAATATGTTGGACACTGTTGTTGCTCCTGCTGGAGTTCAATCTCGCCTCAGCTAATGGCCTGTTGGGCATAGAATTGCCCCCACCTTGACCACTGATTTGGACATGCAGTCCTATGTGCTTGCAGGAGACAAATATAGAAGACTGCTTGACCTTGCCAAGTCAGGGTAAGACAGCCATTCTGTTTCCCTGCTGTTGTTGTGGTCTGTCAAGTTCTCTTGGCCTTAGCCAAATCTGGGTGTACCAACGTCGCTGTGAGACCTAGGGTGACTGTTCAGGTGGCTTGCTGTTTCTGTCCTTGCTGCACCTTTTGGAAGTTGTCCATCCGCATTTCCTGTCTACTCTAGTATTGTTATTTTCCTTCTCAGGTCTTGATGAGGTTGAAGATTAAACTATCACAACTATTATTCTCTCTTCCTAGTTAGATATATTAGGTACTAGACTTACATTTTCCAGCTTAGGACAACTCTATTGTAAACTCAATTATGCCCTCACCCTAGGACTAGATATGTAGGTCATTTTGTTCTCGATTTTCCTTTTCTTAGAGCACACTTGTTATTCACTGTTTTGTATATAGTTTTGTATTAAGCCTAAATCTTTTCTTTAGACTAAAAGGGGAATTGTAGTGAGGTAGTCCTTCTGTAGCACTGACCACGCCCATTGGGGGGTGGAGCGATGGGCGGAGGTGACCTGAGGAAGGAGGGTCGGAGGGGGCCAGGAAAGGCTCTCTCTTTCTGGCGTGACTCGGACAGGAGAGGATCGGGTTGAATTTCCTGGTGTTCATCTGTCTAGGTTGTAAGTTATTTCTCCCTGAATAAACATCTATTCGGCCTATTTGTTTATCCTGATCCTTATTTACCGCAATACTCCATGGCCTCTGCGTCAGCTCCTGCCTCCGGGTTCCCGCCCTGCCTGAGTTCCTGCCCTCACTGCTTTGGATTTGGACGATGAACTGTGATCCAAATGATCCACTATGAGCGCAATGGCTCCGCTCACTCCCAAGCTGCTTTTGATTAGAGTGTTTCACCACAGCAATAGGAGCCAAAGACGCGTTGGTGTTGGGCAGTGGACTACTTACTGTAATGACAGGCCGACCCAGCTGGGGTTTGGTGGAATGTGGAAGACACTACTGCAGCTTGGTTTTGCTGTGTTCAGATTGTGACTGTTCCTCTCAGAGTAAGAATGCATTGACTTACTGTGATTTTTACAAGAGCCACAGTGAGGAGACTGTGAACTTTTAAAGAGGTTTTGAAGTTTTACATAGACTTTGAATTCTAAAGTGTTTGATTTTGTAAAGGCTATGGGGCTTCTTAGATTGTAAAAATATTTTATATTGTGTTATCAGTTTGTGATCTTGGCCTGCACTGATTAACTATCCCCACCTGATGGCCTTTTGGGACGGGAACCGCCACGTTGGACTGGAGCTTCAGCACTTCTGGTCCACCAAATTCAAACACTCGAATCGCCCTCATCAGCTTCTGTCCAGTTGCCATTATGACCTAGAGACTAAGAAAAAAATTAGTATTATCATATTATACCCAGGTTATCGCTGTTTTTCTCCCCTACTGAGAGGACAGATCAAACAAATTTTCAAACAGTTTAAACCAGGAGCTTGCCAATGATCTCATTTCGTGTTTAAGAAATTTCACCCTGAAAATCCTTCTGCTACAAAGCAAAATAGTCCATACTACTTCCCATGAGGACCACATGCCTTCAACAAGGGACTCAAACATGCAAACAAAAACATCTGGACCAACATAGCAGAACGCCATATCTGATGGGCGTTTGTTTGTTTGTATAAGCTTGGGTGGTAGTAAAACTTTAACCAACAAAAATTAGATTTAGGGACCATTAGTGAAGATCTGAAATGCTCCAAACATATATAAAGAAGGAATAAACATTTATGCCTAGCTTTTAATAATGTAAGCCATTACAGACAATAACTGAAACCTATCACCCTCCTCCTCCTCCTCTAAATCACCTCTGGGCCACACTTTTAAAATTGGTTAGTACCATAAATTCAATGCTAGTAATTGCCCAGCATGATTACATGCATCCAGGAGCAACATAAGCAACTATTTTGTATATTTACTACCTTTATTTAGATTGAATTTATTTATACTTTATTTCCTTTAGCATTCAGTCTTTGAAAAGTATCAGGTTATGGAAACATCGGGCTTCCTGTAGTTTTTTTAAGTGTTTTGTTGAGCACATGCCAAGGGCACAGGAGTGTAGGTCAGAGAACAGCCAAGCCATCTCTTCCCTTCCATCATGTGGGTCCAAGGAATCAAACTGAGGTGTATGGTTTGGTGGCGAGCGTCTCTACACACTGACTGAACTATCTCTCACAGGCCCTCTGGAGTTCACTGTCACAAAAGGAGAAAGAAAATTTAAACCTAAAAAAAAAAAAAAAAAAAAAAAAAAAAAAAACACAGCGCAGCTCTTTATACGTTACAAAGGTCCAGGTAATCTTTCTACCCTCCTGTTATTACTGAAGGGAAGAGAAAACCCAGTTAAAAATAAGCTCTAAGAAAAGCAAAGCTAATTAGCAACTAAAATTATGCAACTGGAAATACCACACTGGTAGATATATAATAAACAGGTTTTAACTGTATCTCCATACTTTTCATTGTGGCTTTTCCTAATTTCTTTCAATAAACCAAATCAAATAGTGAGACTCTGCTGCCCCTGGGAGGTTTCTGTTATCTTGAAGAACAATCACATCCCCCAAACACCAGGAATATCAGGGACGAAAAGCTCAGAAGCCGAGAAAAACAGATGCAGAGATCCAGTCTAGGAAAGAAGTCAGGTGCAGCAAGGCATTCACTCTGTCCCCACCTGTTGCACTGACCACGCCCAGTGGGGGATGGGGGCAGGGCCGTGACCTGGGGGAAGTAGGTCTGGGGTAGGGGAGCTCTCTCTCACTTGCTGGATGGAGACAGAGGGCATCCAGAAGCATCCTTGGAACTGGAACCTGCTGGCGTTCATCTGTCTCTGTTGTAAGTTATTTCTTCCTGTTGTTTCTATCTGTTTTCCCTGATTCTTATTTTTCCACGATAGTCAGGCAAAACACTAACAGTAAGCATGCACTGGTCCTTGTTCACTTAACATACAGGACTTCAACATTAAATGTGAGTGTGGCCAAACTCTCTCCCCGGAGAGATGTAAACAAAGACTCCCACCCCATTATGGGGCCTCAGCAACAAGGCAAGTCCTACTCAGGGCTCCAGTCAGTTTATAATGCTGACTTACAGGGTCTGGGTGTGGGGTTACTTACAAGGGTGCAGATGGAAAGTCTCACCCAGCATGCGTGGGTTGTTGCTGGAGTTTCTTCTCCTGCCAGGTCCCGCCGCTATAGTCCCAAATGAACACACAGAGACGCTATGTTAATTATAAAACTGTTGACCGACGGCTGGGGTGTCTTACTGGCTTAATTACTGACCCATAACTACTAATCTAAGTATTTCCACATGGTCTTGTCTTACCAGAGGAGTATACAGTGCTTTATTCATCAACCAATAAGAGAAACATACAGAAGGACACCCCTCCCCTGCCCCCCTCCGTCAGTGGATAGATGACAACCCTCTCCAGTTATCCTTCCATCTCACAAACGTGCTGGGCCTTCTGGGACAATGGGGCAGAACCGCATACAGTTGGCCCTGAGGCATGGAAGGGAATGGCTGCAATGTCAAGTAAGAGTCCAATGACCCCAGCTGTCTAGGAGGGGACAGCGACAGTCACCAAACATGATCTGGGGAATCTCCTGTAAGTAAGCAGTCACACACAGCTGCTTCACTCAGAGGATGGCGCTTTCAATAGTGAGTGGCTGTGCTAACCCAGAAACAGAAAGCCTGAAAAGACTATGTAATAATAAAACCAAAGTTGTTCTAAACCAGCGTCTGTGTCTTGCTGCTAACTCGTTTATTTCCTTACACTTTGAGGGTGAGAAGAAAGGAGGAGAGGGGAGGAAGGCAGAGACTTCCCACTCTGCCCTGCGCCTCCGAGACTGGTATCAGACTTCCTCGACTCTCCACCACTGTGTCCTGTGTGTCCTGAAGCTGCACTGAGCCTGTGCATTCAACTAATCCGGTTCCACACCCAACTCACTACCCTTGAATTCAACCACACGACCATCCTCCCACCAACGCTCTATCAAAGGGAATCACAAAGAATAAATCAGCGAGATATACCAATAGCAACTAAGAAAACCCTCGGACCGTTTAATACCCAGACTTTCCTAAAATGTGTGGTGTTTTTAATTATCTTCACCATGGGCAAAAACGAAGTTACTGAAACTGTTACCTTACGCAGAACTAAAAGCAAAGCCCCGTTTTATGAGTGAGAAGACATCAGAGGAGGTTCAGGGCCTGGGACAGCCTCACACAGGACATAGAGGCGGAGCCAGAGCTAAGTCCTGAGCCTTGAGCGTTGGCTGATTTTGCTTTTCCAATTTATAATCTTCCAAATTCACTGTAGGAAATGTTGGCTTAGATTGCCTTAAATTTCTCTGAAATGAATTCTGGAATGTAGGAGAAACTGGGTGGAAGATGTCACCAAGCATCAGGCTGGAGTGTTGTGTGATATTTTGATCACATTTCAACAATAAACTTTGATTTCACCCAGCCGGTGGAGCTAGCCACTGGCCGAGCGTAGAAGTCTGGGACTGAGTTACAGATAGAGGGACAGGAAATAGTATGGCAGGGCTGAGACAGGACCTCAGCCTTCTGGTCTGGTGGCTTCTCTGTCACCTCTCTGACCATATCTGACTCGTTATTTTTTTTTTAATCAATGAGGAATTTGTGGATATACTTTTAAATGAAAACTAAGAAAGAGACCCAACAGTTATCAGAAGTACTGCCATGCGCTAGATAGGCTCCTCGGGGCATGTGGCTTATGTATTAACTTGGAAACGCAAATAAATGATCAAAACTAAAGTGGCCAGTGCAAGGGTCACGACTGTGTGACGTTGCCGTGGTCTTGCACTCCGGTGACAGAGGGTGGGGAGAAGTACTGCTGAGTGCTGCGCGACCTAGAGCAGGAGCCACGGTGGCTTTGTGGGCTCAGGAGCAGGGGCGAGCAGCGCACACAGACCTTCTTTGCACCTTTCAGTCATTACCCTGTCTTTTCTGCTCTCTGCTCGCGGTCCTCCAGAAGGTGTAGTAACAAAGCACTAGCGCTTTCCTCTCGGTCGCTGCGATGCCCGACTTATTTCAGACTGTGGCGGGTCGGTGCCACTGAGCCTGAATGCAGACAACACCTCCAGCTGCGTGCACTCTGGAGGCCGCAGCGCGGACCGTCCTCTGCCTGGGGCCGGCCGGGGACTTGCGAGCTCGGGGAGCCGGGCGAGCGCACGGGCCAGGGCGGTGGCTGCAGCCTGGGCCCCCCGGCCGCCCGCGGTGCCTGCCTGGGGCTGGTTTTCGCTGTTGATGGCTGTGAGGCTTTTTCTGTCCGTCTGTCTGTCTTTTAAAGCGTCCCAGCACACAGGGCTAGGAGCCTGCAGCCCTGGGTTGTGAGCCAGACCCGGGGACGCAGGGACGGGAAGAAAAATCGTGGCGTCCTAGAACCACTTACCCTTCTCTGGAGCGGGAAGCGAAGCCTCCAAAGCTCCGGACGTTCCCGGGCAAAGCCGACCTGCAAAGCCGACGCGCCGGCCGGCGTCCTCCAACTTTAGCGAGGCCCCGCCCCGCCCCGCCCCGCCCCGCCTCCTCTCGGCTGCGCCCGCCGCCGCGCGAGTGCACAAGTCTGGTCCTCGCCGGCCACCGTGGGCGCCGGGAGCCGCCCGCGGGCCGCACGCGCATGGACGGCCGCGCGGAGTTCGGGCGCCGGAAGGCGCAGAGCCTGGGCAAGGCGGACCTGAGCCGCAAAGGCAGCGTGGACGAGGGCGCCGTGCGGGTCGTGCAGCTCCTGAACTCGCGGGAGGAGTTTTTCACCACCAGCTCCTGCGCCGGCCGGATCCTCGTGGTGGACGGGGTGAGGCCACGCCCTGCCACGCCCCGCCCCGCCCTGCCACGCCCTGCCCGCCCCGCCCCGGCTGTGTCTGTGTGTCTGTGTGTTGTTGTTGTTTTCCTAACGAGTCTCTGACACGCTGCTTCCTCTGCTCCAAACCATGTTGCGCGTTTGCACATTTGTCTTTTTTACGTTCACCCCTGAAGGCTGGGTTTTCTAACTTCAGTAAATCCAAGTTTATGTCCTGCTCCACCCAGCAACCCCGTCCTCGGCTTTCCCTGGCCTGCCTTTGTCTAGCTCGTGTTCTCGTCTGGCAGCGGCAGCCCTGAGAGCTAAATGTGGGCCCCGCCCTGCCTTTTACCTTTTAAAGCCCTGCATTTCGAAGTTGCCTAGGCTGGTCTTGAACACGTTCCATAGAACAAGGAAGCCTTGGGCCTGTGACCCTCCTGCCCCGGCTTCTGGAATAGCCGTTCTTCTGTAATGTCTCCCCCATGTCCACGTATCTGAGCCATGAGTCCCCAACACCCAGAGAGGCGCAGGCAGAGGGAGGCACGATGCCCACTTGGTGGCTGCTCACGCTGAACTGTCTTAGGACTCTTTCTGGGCCTCTTTTTGGCTTTATACTTTACTGGTATTTGTTTTCACTCTGACTTTCTAGGAAAGAAGGAAAGTGAAAAAACCAGGATAAAAGGAGCATAGATGAACCAGAGATGTTCCCAAGTCGTGGTATTAGATTCTGTAAATTGGTTAAATGTAGACCACTCGTTTGGCTCTGAGGCTTATAGTTTATAGCAACCACCACGAGGCCAAGCACATGTTAGTAAAGTCTAAACCAGTTATTCAGGACACGTGCTCCCGAGACCAGACGGCAGAGTACCCTCCCAAGCCCTTGTATAAGTAGTTATTTTAGAGGTACAGCCATCTCCATGTATGAAGTTCCCTGCGTTCACATTCACGTATCTTGGGGAATGATCTGTATATACCTGGAATTTGCAAATAAACAATGTTTGTCTCAGTGTTGTAATGATAACCTTTCCAGATCTTTGACACTTTGGACCCTAGTGTCTTTGCCAGTACAGTCCAATATAGAATTTGTGGACGGAAGTTTCTGTTCCGTCTGGTCCCGCAACCACTTAGTCCCAAATAAACACACAGAGACTTCTCATATTAATTATAAACTGTTTGGCCGATGGCTCAGGCTTCTTACTGACTAGCTGGCTCTTAATTATTAACCCATTTATATTAATCTAACTATTTCAGCGTGGTCTTGGCTTACTGGAGAATGCCCAGGCATCCTACCTTCCCAGTGGCTACATGGTGACTCTCTGGCTTCTCTCTGCTTTCTTCTCTGCCGCGTTCTTCTAGTCTGGTAGCCCTGCCTATACTTCCTGTTGGCTACTGGCCAATCAGTGTTTTATTCAACCAATAAGAGAAACATATATACAGAAGGACGTCCCTCATCATAGAAATCAGAGATTTATGCCCATTGTGATGAGGAAAGTGTTCAAAGGCAGGCCCTCACAGGTGTCAGCCAATGGAAGGTCTTATTAGTGTTAGTCACTATTCTACTGGTGGCCCCCTCCTGGCTCATCCTTTGTGATGTAACCGCTCAGCATCCTTTTCTTCCAACAAAAACATGAGCTAATGGCAGGTGAGTGTACCCACCTAGCATTCATGAGGTCTTGGGCTGCATCCCTACCATCACAGCACAAACACAGAAGCAAACAAAAACCGTGGCCGTGTTTCTAAACACACAAGTGCTGTTACCATTCACTCCCTAAGTTATTTGACTTGATTTTTCTTCTAGGTTATTTGTATTAACCCTTATGAGTATTAACTTAACAATAGCCCTCATAATATGCAATGCAAGGTGGTGGTTTCGTTTAGTTTTGTGATCCAGTTGTCTATTGTTCTAGAGCGCAAACGACTCTGGGGTCCAGAAAAAGCACTGTTCCTGGCTCCTGGTCACACACGAACCTTGTGCAAAAGATGACGTGGTAAGTTTTTAATATTTAAAAGACAAACTTTAAAACCCATAGCAACTTTAAAGATATATAGGAAGAATAGAAGATTCACATGTGTGATTGTACTGGCTGAAGATGATGAAGCCTAGAGGACTTGGGTTTCGTTGTTCCTGTTGGGCTGCAGGAGGTGATGGTGTGAAGTGTCCGTGTGCCTCAGCCAAGCATCCGCCTCAGCAGCAGAGATGCAGGGCCGTGTGCATGTGGCACGTTGGGTCCACGGCTTTCAAGCCAGTTATTTAGTAACTTTGCAGCCTGAACAAATTATGGAAGGAGAAGAAGGGGATTGGTCCTCTCTGCATTGCTGGCTGCTGTGCTGGAAATAATCACGTGTCGTGGATTGATTTCACGGCCTTCAAGGCTGTGCTCACTTGTCTGTTGTCTGGGGCTGAAGCGTCAGGTGAGCACATGGGAGGTTGTATCATGCAGTGTCTTTCCCTGCCCCACCCAATACATAAATAAATGCAAAGAAAAATGTGAACAAGAATATAGTCATGTTTTTAGTGGGAGGATGCCAAGGAAGCAGAGGAAAGAGATATCACAGACAGTGTGTGCTTAGTGAGTGTGAGAATTTCTAGGAGTCTGAAAGGAAGGAGAGAAGGGGTTGACAGGGCAGGGCAGAGCAGCCATGCCTGATGCTGCCCTTTGGTTCATGCAGATGGCAGCTCTGAAGGGCGCGGCCAACAATGCTGTCCTTAAGTTTGAACCATTTATCCTCCACGTGCAATGCCGGACGCTGCAGGACGCACAGACCCTGGTAAGATTTGTGCCTGTTCTTGAATTTAGACAGCTGTGGGTAAAATTAATTTTAGGCTTTAAGCCACCTTTTAAAATTATTGGATGTCGTTTTATTCAGCTAATATTTTGACTGTTTTCATCTGGTTGGTCAGTCTAGCTATTTCTATCAGGTGTTACGAGCAGGGACTCCTGGTAGTCTCTGGGAAAGTAAAATGCATACCCACTCATGGCCGGCCAGCTTCTTCAGCGCGCTCTATGTGAATTTCACAGGCCTGTGTCTTTGGTTTTCTTGACAAATTTCAGGAGGACAGTCTGTGGGACAGCATGTTCGACATTTCCCGGTGCTGTTTCATTACAAGTGTGAGTTAGTGAGAGCGCTCGGTTCCCCGCCTCACAGAGCTACTGAGTAGAGCTGTGTGGCGCAGGCACCTCTCACAAGCTCCTCTGAAGGAAGTTCCTGGGGATGAGACTGAAAAAGAATAGAAAAAAGTTAGGGCTGTAGCAGATTAAAATGTTCCTAATACAGAATCTCAGAAGCCGAAAGGGCTTGGTGTGTTCACAGAGCCGGAGGAACGGGACACAGGAGGGAGGAGAGCGGAGGCCAGGAAGCTCAGGCCTGCAGGCCAGAATGAAGACGCCAGGTTCTTTCTGGGTCGGGGGAAGCCGTAAAGGGTTAGTGCAGTTCTGAGAGCCTGGTTGTGCCACCGTATGGTCAGGCCTCAGTGGAGTGTGGTGACATGGCCTGAGAGGGTGACGGAGTCAAGTTATATTTAGTTTTTGGTTGATCAGTGATGGTTGTCAGGGGTCAGACAGCTTGGGAAGTAGAAAGGTGAAGGAGGGAGTCTTGGGTCTGGCCTGAGCATCTGTGAGCCAGGCAGTGTCTTCAAGAGGAAGCGCAAGACTCGAGTAGTATGTTTGAGGCATGCATCTTAAGTGCTGGGTGCCTGTCTGGCAGGGATGCCGTAATGAAGCACCACAGAGTAAATGATTGGGAACAAAGGTACTTTTTTTTCCTGTGCTGGAGGTCAAAGGTCAGGGGTTGACAGAGTTGGTTCTCTTAAGACGTCTCCCTCTGCCAGCCACCTCTCTGCTGTGTCCTCTCGTGGCCTTTCCTCTGGGAATACGCCCCGCTAGGATCTCTTTTGGGGACCTCAGCCCTGCTGACCTAGGTTCTCATGCTGGAGATCTCATTCAGCATTGCCAACGGAAACGGTTTGGCCATGGCCAGACGCCCGTTTTACCCTCTCTCTGTGACATTTCCAGAACTGTTTTTGAGGTGTGTGTAGCAGGCGTTGTGGTGGGGCCCTGAAATACATACAGTCCATCCACACAGCCAGACACATTAATGGTTTTGCAGTTACGGGTTTGGCACCCGTGAGAGGTCACTGAGGGCCTGGCTAGCCGGCGTAACTTAGGGTGCTGTGTTTTCTTACAGCACTCAGTGGCCATTGATTCTGGCTTCAGGAACTCTGGCATCACCGTGGGGAAACGAGGGAAGACCATGCTGGTAAGGTCTGCCGGCAGGACAGTTCTGTGGGGCCACCTGTGCTCACCCCTGCTCTTGCCTTACCTTTTCTGGTCCCCAGACCTGAAGTGCAGCCCCCACCTCCCCCCTAGAAAACCCCGAGTTTGGATTTAAAATTGAGTCCCTGTTTTCTGCCCCCTTCCCTGCTTACTTTGAACGATTCTTTGCTGTCCTGGCCACATCATGGGTTATGAAGGGAGAGTGCAGTGAGTGTGGTTGTGCCGCATTGAGAGCCTCATAGGCCTCGCGCCCTCCATGCCAGTGCCCTCCTGAGCACAGCTGTGCTTTGCGATCTGTGTGAGCTCTGTAATGCCGCTGTCTGCTCAGAGGTCCGGCCCCTGGGGGCCAAATCCACTCTACCCTGCCATTCGTGATTGGGTACAGCTTACTTTGCGCCACTTCCTCACAATTGAGTAGTAACAGATACCATATGACCTGCAAAATCAAGGACATTTATTACCTACCTGTCCCTTCACAGAAATCGTTTGCCAGCCCCAATCTAGAAAGTCCCCAAAGCCCTTAAATCCTACATGCTCTTTGTCCTTTCCTGGCCAATCCAACCCTTAGTAATTTTGCCCTGCTCTGGTCTCCTTTGTTCACTGTTTGCACAGCACATACTGTATTTGAACACGTCAAATCCCTGCTATTTTAGCTCTCTTGACTCTATTTTTAACAAATGGCTTACTTCCCCCAGAAGTTGGTTACAGAGAACTTAGGACGCATCTAAACAGTAAACCAAAGTCCGCACTGTACACTCTACTGTACGCATCTGGTCCCCAAGGGCCCTTTCTCTCCTGTGTCCCCTGTATCCACATAGTCCCTGTGTCTTTGCCAGCCAGACCCTGCATGCTGACCCTGAGTCAGAGCTCAGCCTCCGTCTCCTTTTTCTAAGATTGCCTCCCGACAATCTTCTCCAGCCTCCAGGCCCTGGCCAATATCGACAGGATCTCTACTTTAGTACATCAGGGTCTCCCAACTTTTCCATGGTATTCAAGGTCTTAAACTGTCTAACCCCAACTCCCACCCTGTGTGTGTGTGTGTGTGTGTGTGTGTGTGTGTGTGTGTGTGTGTGTTCCAGCCATGTAAAACTGTTGCTGCTCTGGCTAAAACATCACTCCCTGTTTTGAGGTCTGATGAAACTGCCCTTGTTCCTAGAAATCCCAGCTCAAATGCTGGCTTTGTGTGGAGCTGAGTCCCAGACTTGACCGGGGCATTTGCTGTGTTATAAGCATTTTTCACTTGTGTTTGTGCATATATGGATTCACGTGTTCTTCCTATCTTGGTTTGCAGTGCAGTTCTGTGTGGTTGTCTGTCTAGAAGCAGGAACTATGTAGTTGAATGATTTTCTCTGTCCTGCTGGTCCCCCGGACCTGTTTTCTCTTGAGCTTTTGGGTCCCCACAGCTGCTTATGAAATAATTGCTCAGAGGCTAACATAAGTGAAATTGTTTGGCCAGTGTCTCAGGCTAGCTTTCTCTTATAAATTAACCCATTTTTTTTTTTTAAATAATCTGTTTATCACTAGCTGGCTGTGGCTTACCAGTAATGTTCTGGCATCTTATCCCTTCGGCTGCTACATGGCATCTTCCCAGCTCTGACTTCTTTCTCTCCCTAACTCTGTTTGGGTTTCTCACCCAGCTGTATTCTGCCTGGCCATTGGTCAAAACAGCTTTATTGATGAGCCAATGAAAGCAAGACATATTTGTAGCATACAGAAGGAACTATGCTCCTATAGGGATCGTCTCAGCTACAAAGAAGCTCAGGAAAGATTCACTATGTGAAATTTTATTCTTCAACACTAGTGGGTTTTGTAGGATTTTTTTTTTTTTTTTTTTTTTTTTTTGCTCTGTCCTCTTCCTCTACCCAGCTTTTGGATGCACAGGGGATATGTTGACTGTTTTCTCAACAGAACTACTAAGCTTGACAGCCCCAGAGCATTGAGCAGGCGAACATCATTAGATCTTAAACAAGTATCACCACACTGCTGCACGGTGGAGGAGGCATGACTTGCCCCTTGCCATACTCAGCTCCAGCAGATGCTGGAAGAGACTGGTTTTTCCTTGAGTCCTCTATGGATGTTTTATTTGTTTCTTTTCTTTAAATCACATGCTGATGCTTTCTTAGCTGTAGTGGGATTGAAATTGTTCACCGTTACTGAATTCTTTGATATTACCTGATTCTCTGTAAAAGAAAGTATAGCTGCCCTTCTGGAGAAGAAACTGCACCCCATCGATGAGAAGTCTGCCTCATCTCCTTTGATTTGTCTGAGTTTAACTAAATTAGGTCACATCAAGGGCCTCCATGCTATAATGGAAGTTTGCTGTTCCAGCTGAGCCCTGTCTAGGACCTCTCTCTCCTGGGCTCTGTTCTTCATGCGCACACTGCTTTCTCTACTAGGCTGTCCGGAGTACACATGGATTAGAAGTTCCATTATGCCATAAGGGGAGACTGATGGTGACAGAAGAATATATTGAGTTCCTGTTAACTGTAGCAAATCAGAAAATGGAGGAAAACAAGAAAAGAATTGGAAGGTACAGTTAATTATTTCCATGTTATTCATATACACCTACGTCATCCTTGAAAATAGGGATACACACCACTTTAAGTTTATAATCCAAACTGCTTGTGCTGGTGGAGACCTCTGTGGAGAAAGGATGCGTGAGGCCATCAGTGGGACTGGAGTGTCCAGTGGTGGGCACTCAAAGATTGCCGAGGGAGGCTTTGCCCAGTCAGCCAGTGGCCGCCAGGGCACTGCTAAAGAAAGAGCGGCCATGTGGGAACAGAGGTCCGACAGTCAGCTGTTGCCATAGAGCCGACATGGAATTGCATCATAGGCCCATTGGAAAGACGAGAGATTTCGGTTCACATCGTTCTGTCCTTGCTCTTCATCTGTGCCTCCTGGCCAGTGGACCAGCACACAGCTCCACTGTAGCAGTTTTTCTGTAAACACTGCCTTCCATGTGTGCCAGCAGTGCCTCTGAATCCCCCGGGCAAGAGTGGATCTGTTGTTTTGGTTTTTGTTTTTTTTAAGGGTTTGGGGGGGTTTTGTTTATTTGTTTGTTTGGTGTGCGTGTGCGTATGTGTGCGCATACGTGCATGCATGCGTGTGTGCATGCGAGCGTGCCTGTGTCTGTGTGCCAAAGCACACTGTTGTGGTCATATAACAACCCTGTGGGTTTCAGAGACTAAGTTCAGGCCATCAGACTTGTGTGGAGGGTGCTTTTGCCCATGAGCCATCTCACTGTGGCTCACCAGCCCAAGTTCTACGCTGCCAGGTCACAGAGTGATGGACATGTTGGACTCACTTGTCCCGCCCTAAGTCTCACGTCCATCACTGCCTACGCGTCTCTTCATTCCCTTTCCTTTCTGTCCTCATTGCCTCTTTATTTATCCAAACCTGTGCAGCAGCCCCTCAGGCTGCTCTCAGAACGGGGTATAAAGAGGATGTCAAAGTCCTGTCCATATACTGCGAAAGAAACCCATGCCTTGACTTGCCTGCCTGAACCCCTTACATACCGAGAGATTCCCACTGCAGCCGAGTCAGAAGGGGCCAGTGATAGGCAGTGGGAACTAGTCCCCAAGCAGCCTGGGTTCCACCCCATGCCACCAAGTTCCTCAGCTCAATTCTACCAAGTTGCTGTCTTATTTTTGATTGTGTGGTCTCTAACTGGGGAAATGCTAGCTCAGAGAACAGTTACTGATATCATTTAACAGCATGTTCCTTGTGCTAGGCCTTGCTTGGTAACGCTTGTGGGCTTTCAGAGCAGGAGAGCCCTTCTCTTCATTCACGCACAACACAGGATCCCCCACCTGGAAGCATAGAATCCTAGGATTAAGGAAGCTTCCCTGGGGAACTGTGTGGCCTATGCCAGATTAGATGCAGGGGACAGAAGCCGATTCCTCACACACAGAGGTTGTCTCAGAGCATTGCAGTGGGTAGATCCTGGGTAGGAAAATGGCTCATAAATCCTGGCCACAAAGTATGGACGTTCTAACCAAAGTGAGTCTCTGAGGTAACCACCTGAGCTGACTGCCCGCCAGACTGCAGGCATGCACTGACACAGATGCCGACTGCCCGCCAGACTGCAGGCATGCACTGTCCACAGATGCCGACTGCCCGCCAGACTGCAGGCATGCACTGACACAGATGCCGACTGCCCGCCAGACTGCAGGCATGCACTGACACAGATGCCGACTGTCCACCAGACTGCAGGCATGCACTGACACAGATGCCGACTGTCCGCCAGGGTTTCATGTCTGTGGGTGGTGCTGCCCTGGGCTGTTTATGGAAACACAAGAAGCAATGGTTCAGTTTCTCTGTACCCAGCACTGAATTTCAACAAGATTGTAAAGACAGCCCAAGACCAGCTAGCTATACACCTGGTGAAGTTAATTGAGCCACACTCACCAACCATAAAATCAAATTATGAATTGGATCCATTGACTCAAAAATGTATTTTGAGATGATAGTCTGCATGCCGCTATCAAGAGAGCCAGGCTCATCATGTAAAATCAGTGAAAAATTAAAGAAGGGTAAAAAAGTATCTTAAGATCCTGATTGCAAGATTACGTGTGAATTCAGAGCATGTGAGTAAATTAGGGAGCTCCCCTGGGAGCTGCGTGCACATCAGCCAGATTCAGGCACAGTCCTGGTCTTAGAAGAAAACAGGCCATTAACACTAGCGGGTGATCGTGGGGGCAGGGAGATTTCATCATGGTTCAGATAGCCACAAGAATCTCACCAACAAATAATTTAGAAGCATGACAGAGTTAGGAGTTAAAGTACTTACAAACATTACATTGTGTGTGTGTTGTTAGATGTGTGCACACGTATATGTAGGTATGTTGTATGTGTGCGTGGCATACTCATGTGTGTCTGTGTGCATACAAATGCGTGAGTGTGATGATATTGGTCACATGTATGCACGCATGTATGTATGAGAGTGGTGTATATAGTGTATGCACATGTGTGCAGATATGTGTTTTTATGTGATATGTACGTATATGGTGTGTGCACATGGGTACATGTGTGTGTGTGATATGTGTGTGTAGTTATCTGCACACATTTGCCTATGTATGTGTGCTATATATCTGTGTAGTATCTGCACATGTGTGTAAGTGTACCTTTGTGTGTGTGGTATCTGCGCAGGAGTATCTATGTATGTGTGATGTGTGTGTGTGTGGTAACTGCATATATGTTCAGATGTGCCTATGTATGTGTGTGTAGTATCTGCACGTGTGTGCAGGTGTGTCTGTGTATGTGTGTGGTATCTGTGCATGTGTGCAGGTGTGCCTACATATGTGATATGTGTATATGGTATCTGCACATGTGTGCAAGCATGTGTAAGCATGTGAAGTCTTGTCCTGCTCTCTCACTGTCTGCCTTGGGACAGGGTCCCTCAGTAACCTTGGTGTAGGATGAGGCAGACAGCCCTAGCTGCCATCCAGCCTCTGTTTCTCACAGGGCTCCTGCTGCAGGCTACAGACATTCACAAGCCTGCCGTGTAGGTGCTGGGATCAGAACTCAGGCCCTGACCCGTGAGCCATCTCCTCAGACCCTGAAGCACTTTTAATAGCAAAAAGGTCATGGTCATGGTTGTGAGAAGTAGTTGCCATGCCTGCGTCTCTGTGGGAAGGGACTCAGCCAGCAGAAGAGCTGAGGGCCTGTGGCATCTGGAGACGGGAAGACACAGGGACCAACAGACACCAAAAGCTACTTCAAACATAATGATTTCCAGGTGGAAAACTCAGAGTCTGTAGCTGTGCCTCTGGAAGTTTCTGTCTGTTGATGCCAGGTCAGGACCAGCGTCCAATGACGCCATGTGGCACTGACTAGAAAGAAGTTAACAATGTTCTTCTTTTCGTCAACTGTGTAATCAAATATTAAATAAAACAGAGTAAAGGGCTGGATATATTAGCATATAATATTGTTAAGAATAAAGAAATCAGAAAGGCAAAGCCATTGAATCTGTTTCCAGTGGTTGATTTAAAAAAAAAAAAAATCTTCTACTGTGTAACAGAAATTTACCATTTTAACAAATGGCATTATTCTATCCATCCACATCATTAGAAACCGTCACAGTGGTCATTTTAACCAATGGCATTGTGTATGTCTACATCCTTAGAAACCATCGCCATTATTTTAACCAATGGCATTGTGCATTTCCACATCATTAGAAGCCACTGCTACTATCACGTTAACCGATGGCATTGTGTACATCCAGGTTACTAGAAACCATCCCCAACGCCCCTCTCCAGAACTTTCATCCTCTTAAACCAGCCACACTTCCCGTACTGCAGCTGCTCTGAGCGCTGCATTTCCTGTGTCTGTGAGCTTGGCCCCTCTAGCCACTTGGTTGTGTGATCTGTCTTATTGTGGCGGTGGTTTTGTTTGTTGTAGTACTGGGTATTGAACCTGGGGCCTTGTGCGTGCTTTACCCGAGGCCTACCACTGAGCTACATCCCCTGACCATGTCAGTCACCTCTCAAACTGGTGGCCCTCCATTGTGTTTGTGGGCTGCATGTGCTTTCCCTGTCTTTGCTGGAGATTTTTGGTGTGTTTTCACCCCAAGTCCACCCATGGAGTGAACCCTTGAGGTTTCTGGCCTGCTCAGAGGATAGAAGGCTGCAGTGGATGGGAAGAGCTAAAAAGACGCGTGGTCTTTTTCAGTAGGAAAGGTGGAGAAGATGGAGGTGAAGTGATGTTTGCTCTTCCGTGGACCAACCTGGTTTATCTACATTTGACTCCCAAGCTTTATTGAATAATAAAGCTTTAAAAGAAGCCACAGTACCCTGTGCATCTGTTGATAGACAGTTGTTTCCAGCTTTTACCCGTGGGGATGCCGCTGCGCGGGTCATTGGTCTCCAAGCACACACTCGTCTCTCCCACTTCCAGTGATCGTGGATATATACTCAGAAGTGGAGTGGCGTGGTAAATCTGCATCTGACTTCCCGAGAGCCCCGCTCCGCCATCCGCAGCATTGCCACCGGCCGTGAGAGCTCCAAACTCTACCCTTGCAAACAGCAGCAGGGTGGTGTGAGAAGGCAGACACCTCCGTAGACTCTCGTCTTGTGCTGTCTGGTGTTTAATGGTGTTCGGCACACGCTCTTTATCCGCCACGTATCTGTCATCTTTACACGTGTCTCTTCAGTCTTGCTCAGTTTTAATTGGATCGCTGCCTCCCCCCACTCCCCCGAGTTGTGGGGGGGATGTTCAGCAGATGTGTGATTGGCAGATTCTTTTCAATGCTGTGGGTTCCCTTTTACTATCAGCAGCGTCTTTACATAAGAGTTTCAGATTCTTATGTAGCTGTCTGTCTGATTTTCTTTTGCTGCCTGATTTTTGGTACTAAGCCGAAGAAAGAAACCATTGCCAAATTCAGTCCGGTGATGTTTCCTGTTTTGTTTTGTTTGTTTGTTTGAGTTCTTGTATTTAGGTCTCTGTGGGTATCTACTTTAACTGGCAGGTGATTTCAACACTGGTTGGTGCTGAGTAAGAAAAGGGTTGGTGAAACTTTTTTGTGGCCGTCTTTCGTCTGCTGCAGCTCCCAGCCCAGCACAGCTCCCAGCACTGCTAACCCATCCCAGTGTTGACCTCAGTCCTCTCCCAGGTCAGACAGAGTGTGTTCTTGTCAGCGGGACGCCAGAAATTAACAGCATCCCGTCAGACTGGATGACGGTGGATATAGATGACGGTGGATATGTACGTGTGTGTTCTTTCAAAAACCACTCATATAGACGCCAGTGAAATGTGAAATGTGGGCGCTGCAGTCGAGAAATGAGTCCAAGGTAGAGTCTTAGCTTTCGCAGCAGCACAGCTGGGCACTCTGATAGGCACCAAGTAACTATAATTCTGTCCAAGGAATGGTGAACGCCCAAGACAGGTCTTGGAGTCACTGGGTGTCCAAGATGAGGCTGTTAAATTCACAGAGCAATTAGTGTGCAGTTAGGTGTGATGCAGGGAACCTCTGCCAGGGCCTGGGGCAGGGTTCCGAGGGCGATCCCTGTGGTAGAAGGAGCTGAAGGAGAGAAGGAGGCATGCCGTGTGCAGAGCTGGGAGATGGGTGTTGGTCAGAGTAGCGTTCGTAAAGAGGGAGAACACGTGTTCACAGTGATGGAGGCAAAGGCAGTTGTAGCTGACTGGGTTTATAATTTATAAGGCTAAGACATGACATTATCAAGTCCTAAAGAGTAGGTCAATTCTAGATGTGCCCCAGTCACTCACTTGCAGAGTGTCTGTATATGTAACCAACTGTATATTTAATTCTTTACAGGTTTTATAACTGCCTGCAACATGCTCTGGAAAGGAAAACCATTTCCAGCTCACATTCTGAGATCAAAGAGAAAAATAACCCACTTTGTACTCATAAGAATAAAAGGAGCCAAGAGAAAGCACGTGACCCATCTATTACTGAAGACCATGAAAAGGAACTGGAAGGTGGTGATGGCCTGGGGATCAGTGCCACATTCTTCTTGGAGGGTGACTAAGGTTTGGCACTGACGGCGTCCGACACACACTATTTTTAAGTATATTAGGAGGCACTCCACAAATAAACTTACAGCTTTTAATGCCTGTCTTTCTGGTTCCTGTTTGTGTTTGTGTGAAGTGGGAAAAGCCAGATTAATTCCCTCCTGAGGCAGTGTCAGCACCATGAGCTTTGAAGTGGGAACTGTAGGAACGACCTCACCTGGAAACCCAGCTTTTTTAAGGTGAAGGTCTGAGTTTGCATTTCTCACCATGGACGAGTGTTTCCTCCCCGCTTGGTTTTGTGGATAAAAATTACCACATTCTGCTATTTGTTCAGGAAAATACCTGAGCGTTCTTTCTGCTTTGTCCCTTATTACTAGAGCTTGGTCCTGGCAGCCCCTGAGACACATGGGGTGGCATGTCCTAGGCTTGCTTGGGAAGGGTCACTGAGGCAGACGCCCCTGTGAAACAGAACACGTGTGCTCTAACAGCACAGCTTGAGTCCTGATGTCACATGTTCTGATCAGATGTCTTCTGCACTATAGGAATAGTAACCCTTGCTGTATTCACAGGTGAGTGCCCACTGGGTCATACTGCAAGTGTGAGACTGCTGACCAGCAGAGCCCACGTTAGTGTTAGCACGCGTGCTCATTACACAGGAAGGTGACTTCATACATACTTTCAAGCCTACCAGTCAAAGAGATGACACTGGAGGACGGCTGGAGCAGGCAGCATCTCCAGGTTTGGTAGCAGGAGCTTGAGGCAGCTGGTCTCACCGTATGCGTAGTCAGGAAGCTCAGAGAGATGGACACAGGCGCTTGGCTCCATTCTATCCAGCCCGTGGGATGAGCCACCCACACCAGGATGGATCTTCCCTGCTCAGTTAGGTCTCTCCGAAACTCAGTGTGCACAGAGGTTCTGTCCACCTGGCCTTGCAGCCCTTTAGCCCCAAATAAACACACAGAGGCTTCCATTAATTAGAAACTGTTTGGCCCATGGCTTAGGCTTCTTATTGGCTAGCTCTCCCTTATTTAGCCCATTTCTATTAATCTAAGTATTCCCACATGTTCCTGTCTTACCGAGAAAGGGTCCAGCAGGTTACTCATTCCGTGGCTACATGGCATTGCCTGGAGGCCTCTCTCTGTGTCCTCACCCCAGAATTCTCCTCGTCCCACCTACAGGGTTTTATACATCAACCAGTAAGAGAAACGTATATACGCAAGGGCATCCCCACCACACCAGAGGTTTGTCCCGAGTGACCCTGAATCTCGTCAGATTGACGACACTGTCAAAACCCCAGCCCTGTCTGTCTGATGCCCAAGCCCAATACTTTTTCCCCTTTTATTAGGACTGGTTTTATTATGGTTTTATTATTTTTAGTTGTATGTTTGAGTGTGGATTTGTGTCCGTGAGCACACATGGAGGTCACAGGTTTCAGATACCCTGGAGCAGGTGACGGTGAGCCGCTTAACACAAACACATCTGTTACACACACCATAGGCGATTCCAGATGCTGGCACACCGACAATGAAGGTTAACCATAATAGTCATCATTTTTTTAATATCACATCTAAATGAGTCCAATCAAATCATTTCAGCCCTTTGATGGTTCACTGGCAACACCCTTACTCAAACAGCATGAAAGCAAGCCCCATGGCCAGAGGCCGACAGATCTGTCCTGTAGATGTTTGTGTGTCTGATACTGTCCACCATCTTTACACTGCTCACCACTGTGGTTTCGCTCTATGAAGGCCGTGCACCGTGTGCTACTGTGACTGGACCATTGCACAAGCGTGGCACTCCTGAAGCTGTGCAGCTGCACGTTGGCATTAAGCATGCGTGTACGTGTGTGCGTGTGCTCGTGCATTTGTGCGTGCATTTTTGTGTGCATGTGTGTGTGCATGTGTGTGCTACATGCAGATGTGTGCGCACGTATGCTCGTGTGCGCGCTTGTGCATTGTATGTGTGTGTGCATGTGTGTGTTTGTGTGTGTGCATGTGTTGTGTGCACATGTGCGTGTGTGCATGCATGCAGATGTGTGCATGTGTGTGTGCATGTGTGTGCTCGTATGTGTACATATGTGCATTGTATGTGTGTGCATGTGTGTGTTTGTGTGTGTGCATGTGTTGTGTGCACGTGTGTGTGCATGTGCGTGCTCGTATGTGTACATATGTGCATTGTATGTGTGTGCATGTGTGTGTTTGTGTGTGTGCATGTGTGCATGTGTATACAGTTTCCCTCCCAGGTAGGGAATTGGGGCAGGGAAAGAAAACAGTTTTAGAATGTCTGGGGCATGGCTTCTAACTTACTGAATAAAATCAGGATGATCTGCCAGGCACATAGGTCGAAGGGGTGACAGAAAGTAAGCAGGGACCCTCACACACAGTGGGGCCAGCATGAGGCGGGACACCTGAGCTGCAATGATGCACATTGCGCATTTCAGCCTCCTGATTCCCCAGGCTGGGACAACCATTTGCTCCCAAGGTTTGAACCCTCCACACTGTGCAAGGAACTGCATAGTTAGCATCTAAGAGGAAGAGACACACAGTCAGGCCTGATAAGACACAGAGGGGGCAAGGTGTGTTTGCGGTTCTGAAGTTCTAACCCAGAGCACGACTATAAACTATCAGCCATGTTGTGACCCAGCTAATGTGGATTGGTAAAGGGAGGAAGCGCCGTTTCTGTCCTTTCATATCCCTGTCCCTGACAATGGTTGGTGTTCAACAAATGCTTTGTTTTGGTAAATGTTTTGCATGGGTGATTATTCAAGAGCATTATTTAGCTTACAATTTATAAACTCAGAGAAGCTTGATAATATGACTAATAAAATTAAAGCCTTGAGCTAATTTGATAGGGTACAAGGTCACTTGTAAGCTGTATAATGTTAGGTCGCATTTGTATTCAACTGAATGTGCAATCTCCTGCACAGTCTCATGTATTTGAACCCTTGGTCCTTGGCTGCCCAGGCTCTGAGGAGGACACAGACCTTTAGGCTTCGGAGCCATGCTGGAAGAAGAAGACTATTGAAAAGGAAGATGTATAGATTACAGTCAGACCCTGGTTCCCACACCCTGGTTCCCACCCACGCCCTATACCTACTGGGTCCTGGGATGAGCAGCCACAGCTGCATAGCCTGCCATCATGAACTCTGCCAGACTTCACCATGGTAGGCTAAACCACTTTAAACTGTGAGCCAAAAAGATCCTTCTCCCTCAGGCCCTGCCTTCAGGCATCGTGCCAAGAAAAAAACTAATACAGTTTTCCTGACAAAATGTCCAGACCCTAGAATTCTAAGATAAGCTTTGTAACTTTATGTGACATGGACTTTCTGATATTTTTTTCAGCAATCCTTTTTAACTCTTCTATATTGAGATAATTTCAAAACTGAAGGAAAGCAACGATCATAAAGAATCTACACACACTTCACCCAGGCTGGCGATGCCCCCTCTGCCGTGAGCATGTAGATAGTGTGTACACATCTCAGTGTGTGTAAACATCGCAGAATATTTTCGAGGAAGATGACTCTTCCTGGGGTAGGACCTCGGGTATCTTCAAGCTCTCTTGAATCCTCTGCATAGCGGAGGATAACCATGACTTCCTTATTCTCCTGTCTCTACTCTCTGAGTGCCGGGAGTAAACCCTGTGCCATGACACCTGACTTAGATGGTTCTGGGAATTAAAACCCTGGCCTCGTGTGTGCTAGGCAAGCACTCTACCCGATAAGACACATGCCCAGCCTTATTATTAATTCACTTCATTTGTTTTATATCCTGACCACAGTTTTCCCTCCCTCCTCTCCTCTATCCCTCCCCACCCGCCTCCTTTCTGGCCCTTCCCATCCACTCCTCCTCTGTTTCCATTCAGAACGATGCAGGCCTCGTGTGGATACCAACCAAGCATGGCACATCGAGTTAGGTAGAACGAAGCACCTCTCCTTGCATTAAGGTCGGGTAGGGCAACCCAGTATGAGGAACAGGTTCCCAAAAGCCAGCCGCAGCATTAGGGACAGCTCTGCTCCCGCTTTTAGGAGTCCCACAAGTAGGTCAAGCTCCACAAGTGTCAAATATACGTAGAGGGTCTAGGTGGGTCCCATGCAGGCTCCCTGGCTGTCAGTTCAGACTCAGCGAGCTCCTACGAACCCAGATTAGTTACTTGGGCGGGTTCCCTTGTGATGCTCCCACAATCCTTCATCTTTTTCAGTGGGATTCCCAGATCTCAGTCTAATGTCTGCTGTGGGCCCCCGCATCTGCTTCCTTCAGTTACTGGATGAAGGCTCTCTGACGATAATTGGGGTAGTCACCAACCCCAGCACATTCCAAAGGGAGGACAGATCGTAGGTCAAAGGTCATGTGACTGGTTTTGGTGTCTCCACTGGAAGTCTTGACTGGTCACAGGAGATGATCAATTTAGGCTATGTCTCTACTATTCCGAGTAGTCTTAGCCGGGGCCATGGTTGTACGTTTCTGGGAGTTCCTACCTGACCCTGAAATGCACTCCATTTCCAGGCTTTCAGAATTCTCCCCACAACCACTCCCAACTGGATCCCTCACATTCCCATCCCACACACAAGATCTCTTCTATTTCCCTCCCTAGGGAGATTAAGCATCACACCCCACCCTCCTTGGGCCCTGGTTGTTACCTAGCCTCTCTGGGCCTGTGAATGATAGCATGGTCGTCTTTCACAGTTACCATCTACTTATAAGTGGGCACACACCATGTTTGTCTTTCTGGGTTACCCCACTCAGGATGATTTTTTTCCTAGTTTCATCCATTTGCCTTCAAATTTCATTGTTTTTAGCAGCTGAGTAATACCCATTGTATAAATGTACCGCATTTTCTTTATCCATTCTTTGGTTAAGGGGGATTGAGGTTGTTTCCAGCTTCTGGCTATTGCAAATAAAGCCCAAGCTTTCTCTTTCTCTCTCTCTCTCTCTCTCTCTCTCTCTCTCTCTCTCTCTCTTTCTTTCTTTCTCTCTCTCTCTCTCTCTCATGTCAATGTATGCAGTCATCTCTAACCATCTGTGGGGAATGTGATCAGGAATCTCTATGGATACTAAAATTAATGGATGTCCCAGCTCCTATATAAAATGGCATTGTATTT